TCAGGGAAGGATTAAAGCAGTGTATTTAGGATATTGGATTAGTAACCTTATGTCTGAAAGGATATTCAGCAAATATTCAGCAAATAAAAAATAAATATTCTCATGCTCATAGTTATATTAAGAAAAAAAGTCTGGCCTGGTAAGCAAATTGTCACAGAAGGGTAAGAAGTTATATGCAGAGTATAGGCTCCCCAAGAATCCACTGGATGATGTTGTAAATGGCCAAATAAGAAACCATATTTAACCTTTGCCTTGAGATAAAGGGTGCAGAGAGAAGTGAGGCTGCCTGCTGTAAATGTAAATGTAAAAAGGTAAATGGCCAAATAAGAAACCATATTTAACCTTCTCCTTGAGATACAGGGTGCAGAGAGAAGTGAGGCTGCCTGCTGTAACAGAATGTGCTTTGCAGGATGTATTCTGACTTACAACAATCCCCCAGAGCAAAGAGGAGTTCACTGTTGATTCCAGAGATGAGGAGAATCTAGCCACTGTCTATGAGACTGCAGCCAGTTTATCCTAGCATGCTCCTCGCAGTGAGCTTGCTCTGTTTTCAGAATGGGATGGGGGAAAGGGAGCAGAGGGAGCTTGTCTTAGGGGTTCCCTGCCAATGCTGGAGAGTGGGGTAGGTGAATTGCACCCCCCTCCACCTTGTTGGGGTTCCAATATACCCGCACCACTCTCCAGTGGGGGCTGAAAAAAAAACTGAAGACCAACTTCCCTCCACTCCCTTTCTCCCCTGAAAACAGCTCAGACACAAGTTACAGAAGACGCTGTTTTGAAATGTCTTCATCTGAACCCTCATGCAATTGGGCATTTTTAAAGCAGTCTGCTGCTGTGCACTTATGTTTGGTCATGCCTATAAATCCCTTTCTGTGGCCAGATCAGGCATAAATTGTCAATTCTGTCTACTCCCAAAGTGTTGGTCTTTAGTTTTTCTGAAATAGAGATTGACTTTAGCCCCTCATTCAGCAGGCTGAGTAAATAAGGATGAAAGGAAAATTTGCAAGAGGCCCTGACATGAACATTACAGGCAGGCGCTATTTTCTAACCTATTGAGCTGATTAGAAGCTGCATTCTTAGGCTTAAGATGCAGGGTAAAATCAGATTAATGTTCTGATATTTCTGATTAGGGTGTGATTTTTGTATAGCTGGCAAAATCTAATGTGCTAAGAGTTAGCGAGACTTAACTGATGTGGAAAAAGGTGAAGCACCATAGATCAGGGAAGTGACCCTGGGGCATCTTGTTCTGTTCTCAGTGGTCAAGCAGCAGACAGCAGAGAAAGGTTTTGGGCTAAAGGACACCCCTGAAGATGTGAGAACACCTCAAAAGTGTGTCTCAAGAGCACACTTGGCTACATCCAGGGACAGGGTGTATCACAATTGTGTTAAGGTTCACTAATGACACAGCTGCAGTAGCTTAAGCCTTTAAGGGGGCAGAGAGTATTAAAGTGATTCTCACTCAGGGTGATGCAAAACTCTGGGGTACTTTGAGATCCTTTCAAGGATGCCAAAAGATGCCACACAATGTTAACAGTGTTACATGTATAAACATGATTCAAAAGATAAATACAGAGATTTCAAATAGGAATCCATAGTGTTAAAAACATTCTGACCTATTGCTGCCTTTCTACATTCTTTGCAACAGAAGAATTGCTCTATTATTTTTCTGTAGTCAAAAAACAAGTAAAAAACAAGAGCTGGCATTTTTCAAGTGCTGCCTTAAGTCTAAAAAGGTTGAGAACCATTGGACTAGGCCTAAACTGAACTTCCCACAAAACACTTGGCTGTGCACACCCTTTGGATATCTCTAGGTTGCCTATTTTGAGATTCCCCCCCATGTGCAGTAAAAAGAAGAATAAAGGTATATATCTGCCTGGCTAAAGCCTATGTAAGATAGTGCTGTCATTTGACAAAATATCAGTTCTGAGGTAACAAAATTACAAATCACTTTGAAAAATATGGGCTATAAACTATAACTATATTCCATAATTAAGTCACTTTTTCTGGGTTTGTAGATGTTTCTATAACCCAGAACCTGAGAGCATATTTTATCATACTTAGCTCAAAAAATGTTTTAGTCTTTTCTCCATAATCAAAAAGGGAAAAAAGTGCATTTTTACATATACAAAAAGCAATTTCTTCTTATTAGAGAAGCAGTCTCTCTCTCTTGCCTTTCTCGGTTAGGTGACAATCAGAGATAAAGCATGGCCAGTACAAGGAAGTCAGATAATGCTTATAGGTCAAACAGAAAAGGTCTAAATAATATCCTTTTGATTTTCAGCGTTTGGGATATATAATCCAACAGATAGAATCTATTCATTCCCTTCCACGGCCCCATGAAAACAATGCATTACTGCTGTTTTATTTAATAGCTGTACTTTCCCTACCCCCAGATTCAGCTCTTCATGAAAACTACTTGCCTTTTTCTTTACCTGTGAACAAAGTGATTACAAAGCAACAGGAGACACGGAATAGTTTTGCAAAAGCAGTAAAAGGAATACATACAGGTTGTTCAAATAGCATTTTCTGTATCTTAGAGTCTTTCCTCAGGCCTACAACTTGCTACTCACTTTCCCCTATCCAAGGTACAGCACCTTTAAGTGTCTACTTTGCGCCATGAAGCCATATCGTCCTAGGAAGATATACTTGAGAATAGATTAGCACCTAAGTGTTAAAATATGTTGAAGATCTCACAATATTAACTCTCTCTCTCTCTCTTTGTATACTTGAACAAAAAAGCACAGAGTAGCTGAAAAATGAAATGAAAAGATTTCCTCCTGTATATGTTTGGTTAAACTTAATGCCAAGGTGTTGATTTTTTTCTGAAGTCGCTGATGACCTACACATACTTGTAGGCAAGTAAACTTTACATTTTTATTTATATATAAACACATACTTATATCTCTAGTAGATGGTCAGACATTCTGTAGCTTCTGCAGGCCAATTGCTCACAGAAGGAGTTAATCCAGGGTGGGCAATAATTTGGGCTAGAGGGCCACTTAAAGAGTTTTGGTGAACTCCTGAGGGCTAGAGGCAGGGGGTGGGTGGTGGGGGTGCTGACCCAGCCTCAGCCCCCTCTCACAGCTGTTTACACAGCCTCGTACAGCGGACAGGGAGAGGGAAAGGGGGCTGCCCAGGGAGATGCCAATTTATCCTGTCTGCCCCCCAAGCTTGTCTGCCCTGTATCCACTGCTGGGGGTGCCAGATGGAGCAGGGGGGGTCTCCATGGAGATCAGGCAGGGATCCCCACAGGCAAGATGCGCTTGGTTAAGCACATGGGATGGGGCCACGTGTGGGTGGGAAGCAGTGTCTGGGCACAGGGTGAGGGTCAAGATTGCAGGGCAGTGATGGCATGGGGCCGGAGCCTGGGAGAGAGCCATGCTCATCCCTGCAATGGGCACTGGTTCCACAGGGATGTGCAGGGAGCAGACCGTGGCTCTGCCCCAGGCCTCAGCCCCATGCTGTCAATGCCCTTCAATCCCGGCTGCAGCCCTAGATTTTCCCACCCATCCCACTCCCAGATACCATTCTCCACTCATCTACAGCTCCATCCCAGCGGCCCAACTGAGCATACCCTGCCTGTGGGGGTGCTGGGCCAGTCTCCATGAACACCCCACCTGCCTGCCTGCTACTTACATCTGGTGCCCCCCAGCAGTGGGTGTGGGGTGGATGGGCCTGGCTGCCTGGGCAATGGGGACAGTGGCAGTGGGACACGCACCTACTCCTGGGCAGCAGCAGGAGGGTCTGTCAGGAAGTTAATTTTTGACGCAGTGCCAACCCTACCCCACCCCACCACCCAGCTTCATGGACTACAACTCCCAGTGCACACAAGAGCCACATGCAGGGACAGGGTGGGTTGTGCCAAGCAGCACCTCCATGGCTGGGGGCTGTGGGACCATTCAAACCCTCCACAGCCCAGGTTGCACCCTGTGTCTGGGCTGGGCAGGGCCAAAGGACCCACCATAGGCTGGACAAAATCATACTGTGGGCTAAATCCAGGGCACGGGCCATATTTTGCCCTCCAAGCTTGGCCAATAAATAGCATATACACACTAACATATAGATAAAAAATACACAATACACAATCACATCCATACTTTAAGATATGTGATAAAACCACATAATCGATTATTTGCCCACTAAGCCATCTCTCTAAGTCTATAAACATCCATGGAACAGGATCAGCTGTGCCAGGATATGTCCTGACACAGCTGATTTGCTGCACTGAGGGACAGAGACATCACCTGCTATCCCAAGTCATTATTCCCAGAGCATGCTTCTGTAAGTGAGAAAACCCAGACAAGTGCTCCTGGGTCTTCATGTGCCTCATCCTGCAGGAGGAATTCCAGGGTTTGCAGGATTGGCCCCCTGAAGCTCCTGTCCAGGGCATCTGAAGAGTGTGGCAGCCCCAAGCTAACTGCACTCTGTTGGCTAGTTCAGTGGAATAATGAAAAGTAGGGAGACCTACTGTCATTTTTCTAAATGATCATTTTCATATTAAGAACATACAAGGTGTTATTATTTGTGAGTCACTGGTGGGAAGGGGTTACATTTCTTCTTTCAAATTTTTCACATTTTTGAAGCAATTCCATAAAATTAGTCCTGGCTTGAAGAGAGTATGACCAATGAGGTTACACTTGATGGTCTACTGATGCCACATATTCCTTCCTGACCAGTTGCCTGAAGACTGTCTTCTATATAAAACAACTATTTTAATCCCTCATGTCTAACAGTATGAAAAAAATCCTTCTACTAGGATCATATTTTATTTAGAATATGTTTAATATAGAGATAATTATGTCATGGTACATCGAAGCACAGTTACATACAATTGCACAAACACAAATATAATCATATCTAATATTACCCAACATTGCTAAAAGTAGTGGAATGAAATCAACAGAATTGCAGGGCTAGAAGGGACATCAAGGTGCACCTGGTCCCACCCTCTGCACAAATTACAGTAAAATGATTTACTATATCTGTTATAAGGCACCCACCTCTTTGTTCTTTGGAAATCTTGGAAATGACCACTGGAATATTATGTTCTGCTCCACCCTAGAAATATAAAACAATTAATCACATCTTCTTGACACTATTTTTGTTTATAAATATGGTTTTAACCCTAAATGCATCTTAGACAAGTTTCAAAGAATGCATTGCAGACCTAGAGAGAGAGAGATGCATCTGCCTGTCTGTCTCTCTCCCTCTCTATATATACACACATACATATACACACATCTGTCTCTCTCTCTCTCTATATGCATATACATACATATGTATATCTATATATATAGAGAGAGAAAGAGAGGTAGAGATGTGTGTGTTTGTATGTATATGTGTATATATGTATATATACATACACAGATGTATAGATATAAATATCCCACTTTGCTCCTCTTTTTCTGTGATTTAATTAGCTGACAAACTTAATTAATTCCTTTTTCTCTTCAAAGAGCCATCAGTATAGTATTTGACTGAACAATGTGTAAAATTGAAGAACTAGAATAAAAATCACTGTAGCTTCTTCACATTTTCTACAGATTAGTATATCAGACCATGTAATAGAAAGGGAAAATGGGCATCATGCTGTAATGGCAACCATGCTGTGACCATTTGATTTTTGTGCTGGCAAGAAACAGGTAAACAAAAGCCAAAAAATCAAAAGGTTTGGATCTCAGATTAAAAGGAATCTTTGTTGCTAATACACATAAGTGTGCACACACACTTTTGCCTGCACATCCCCACAAGACACACCGTGTACAGGCAGTAAAATATGTAACAAAGAACAAAAAAGAAGACACTAAGAAATAGAACAGCAGGTCTTCAATAAGAAAAAATGTGGACCACAATGTCTTAAAGAAGATGTTCAACTGTACTGTGCCATTCAATCTACCCTGCATGGTGCTATGTGTAAAGCATTAAAAATAACAGCAAAATAAAGGAGAGAAAAGAAATATAGAGCAAACCAGTATGGGCAGAACTGTATTGTACTGGCACGCGCTCCACAGCTGCATGTTCCACCCTGGCTTATTTTGGTAGGAATCAGAAATGTCCAGGTTAATTATAATTTCTGAATATTTTTGCTTGCAGTGGCTACCTTGAAATGTAAATCTGACTTAAACCCATCAAATTTGGTCATGGTCATTTTTTCCTCAAGCATTATCCTCCACCCCCTCTTCAGCATGAAAATTTACCTTCAGCACCATAATTCATCTCTCACTGAACCTCCCTCCCGCCCCCACCTCCAGACCAATATACAGCTGTGGGACAGAGCAAGGACAGTTAGGTTACTCATAATGACACAGAGATGCTACAGAACCCTTCCTGACTTGCAGTCACTTGCAGCTGAGGAGCTATTTTGATTTCTCACATCTAACAATTTGATCCAGTAGAATAAGGGTGGAATTAAGAACAAAGCTTGTGCTCTATAACCCTTGCTCTTTTCTGTTTAACTTATTTGGAAAATAGTCCCTTAAATATTTTCTCTCTCTCAACTTACCCACTTACAGATCTTCTTGATTTCTGCTCCTAGAACATATGTAGGTAGCAAAGTGATGTATCTTATAGCTTCTTTAGAGGTAGGGATAGGCAAAGGAGCTAGCAGGTAAGAGGCACTATCATCTATAGATTTTCAAATTCCAGCTTATTCTTGTGGAGATGTCAGGAAATGATCTGGAATCCCCATGGAACAAGATAATTCATAGTGGCTTAACATACCTTCTGGCAGTAGCTGCCAACAAAAAGGATCTTTAAGACTTTGGTTGCCTATGACATTTTCTAGGAATTCAAAACATAGGAGTGAAAATAAACTCTTGGGCCACTGAGTCCATGCCTTGTGTTCATGGACAACCATTTGTTCAAAAGGGCCCACATGAATGACTTTTTGCAAACCACAGCTACAATACACACAATATAAGAACACCACCATGAACAAAAGGAAGAGAGAGGAAGGGATAAGGATGCCACCAATGCTGAGATCACAGCAATTGAAGGGAACTTGTTAGATAAAATATATTCAGATGATTGTGGATGCCCCATAATTCATATTGCCAGTATATGGGGAGAGTTATAAAACACAGACCCTCATCAGCATGTTCTGATTATTCAAAACATAGAAAAAAATCTGAGCCCACCATGATTTTAAATAGATTCAGGAATTTAGCTGAACTGTATGAACCCATATAACAACTTTATGTTATTAAATAACCCTTGAGGTTTTGTTCTGCTTTGTTTTTCAGAATAATTGAGTTCTCTTTGGTTAGAAAAATCCAGCTCAAGTTCACCGACTTTAAAAGTCTCATCCATCTTCCTTTCAAATATTCTTAATTAACACACACATTTGATTCTCCTTTACAACTTCCAAGCAGTATCCTAAAGTGTCTTTTAGACTGTTCACCTCTAAACAAATAATGTTAAAGAATCATGAAATAATATTGCAGAGTAAAAAATATGTATCTCTTGCTGTATCCTAGCCATGCCAGAAATATGGGAAGAGTACTAGTTTTGGATTAATCAAAAGAGCTGTATCTCAGTTGACAAGGTATCCCAGTTGACAAAGCATTCAAACAAATGGCCTAACATTCACCTTCCTTTCAAATGTTCCCCATTAACATGCACATTCAATTCTTCTTACAGCTTCCCCAAACCCCTCAAACAACCCCCTCCCCCACCACAAACCCTCAATCAAACAATGCTGAAGATTGTAGAGAAGATTACAGAGTAAATAACTTTGGGGAACTGCACGGGTCCCATAGAACATCTTTGTAGACATTGTTGTAGTACGAACACTGTTTTATCCTGCAACTTTCAAAACCCTCCAAGGAGATCAACATACATGCTTAAGTCAAAATTGTGCCTCTAAGGCACAGTTTTTGGAGTTCTTGTACCTTATGCTTTAAGGATGACTCATAAAGCACTGGGAAGCATGATCATTTTTTGCAGTTTGACAGTCTGTATTTCCCTCTTTGCTCCTTTGCATATGAGATTATATATGCTGATTAGAGAAAGGGGAGACAACGGTCTTCCTACTTAGTAAAATCTAGGGTCACTAACATGGATTCAGGTTCAATCTAGCACGGTATTATTAACTATGGTTGTTTTACATTAATTTTCTTCCCCAAACAGGTAATAGTCAGCAGATAAGAATATCAGTAATACAAGTAACTCTGAAAGAAAGAAAAAAAAAAAAAGGAGGTTAGAGGTTGGTATATACCAGTGCGTTTGGTAGGTATGTGAGATTACTTCCATTTCAGAAATGAAGAAACAGACACAACATATTGCTATTTTACAGCATGCCTAGCAGCCAAATCAAATAATATTTTCAAAGTCTAAAGGTCAGTTAGAGAGAGCTGAAATAACATGCAAGAATTTCTGGCTCACGGTCCTATGTTCTATCCACTGGTGTATGCTGCTGCAGAGGTTTATGGCTGCGTCTGCCATGGAAGTGTTACTAACATCCAGAGTGAAAAATGTCTTGTTTAAATTCTGTTTGAGTGTGACCATTTCTGAAGCAATTTCACAAACCTGAAGACCAGCAAATCAGAACAAAAATCCTTAATGGTGAACGTAGTGCCCAGGTCTGACTACATATATAATCTAAATACCTTTCTGTATTTTAAAAAAGATTCAGAACTGTCAGCAGACCTATACTGTATATCAGAGCTCATTTGTGTGCAGAAGCATCCATGGGTTGTGTCTTAAAGGCCAGGTGTAGACGAAACAAGAGGCATGTGTGCACAACACTTTAAAGCAGGTTAAATGCTTCTGCACTGCTTTAATGGTATTGGTGTTTGCACGCGTCAGTGGCCTATTGCTCAGTAATTCCAGCCGCTGTAGCAAATTTTGCAGCGTAATGTGCCTTAAATGACTTGGGGTGCAGCAAACTAGAACTCCTCCAAGGAGTTTTAGCTTGCTGCCCTACAGCCATGGAGCGAAGCACCGTCCCCCGTGCAGCTCAGGGGCAAAGCAGGAACCCTGTGCAGGCAGCCTGGCAGCAGCCTGGGAAAGCAGGCTCTGCCCAAGATCTTTTTTTTTTTACACTCCCTGTAGCCTGCCTGAGCTGTGCAGGGGCTTGGTGCTTCCCTCCATGGCTGCAGTGCATGCTGGGACCACTTGAGCTGGGTGCCTGTGAGCGGGTGCTGCCTGGGATGGAGGGGCCACAACTGCCACACAGGGAAGCACCCCCCCGCCTGCAGCCCAGGGACTGCTCCACCTGCCAGCAGCTCATCCTCCCCTCCAAAGAGGCAGGTAAGTTTGAATGTGTGCACAACATGAGGTTTAAAGGGGCGTAAATTGAAGCGGTGTTTTTAAAAACCCACTGCTTCAATTTAAGGCCCCCATTTCATCTACAAATGCCCAAAGAGGCACAGTTTTGATGAATACATGTATTTTGATCCACTGGGGGGCTTGAAAGATGTAGTATGAATCAGTGCAATGTCTAGTAAAATGTTACATCCAACATATTCACATCCCACAAGTCATTTATGAGAACGTTAATATGGAATAACTTACAGTGTTAATTTAACAAGCAATAACCACTCTGCACTATGAGACACTCCAAACTAATGAAGCAGAAGACAAGACAGTTACACTTCCTAAAAGTGTATATAACTTGTGTATGTACATTTCCTGAAAGAAATAAATGAAACTGGTGTGACAGTTTTTGTTATCTTGCTCCTGAGCTGCAGTAAGTGCAATTAAATTACAAGAATCCTGCTACTTTATTCAGAGGGTAAAACAGTTACTGTGGACCTACTGACAGGCTCCCAAGCAGTAAGCTGTGCACCTGCCTCAGTATAATTGCACATCTACCCATGTCCTAAGAGTGCTTTTTATAGTTGAGGTTAAGCCACTTCCAAGACTTATTCCAGACTAACTTACTCACATGAATAAGCATGCAATCATAGAAAGGTAGACATGGATTGTAAACTAGAAATTATATTTTTAATCAATTAAAGACATTGAGTAAAGCAGTTTTCTATCCTCAGCTGGTGCTTTTATCAAACATATCTTGTTTAATCTTGAAATGAAGAAAAAATATCCATGTCTAAAAATTA